TATGAGGAATGGTGTGCTTAAGGAGGGTGGTTTAACGGGTAGTATGCCATATGTCCATTTATGTGCGGTCTTGGATGTGCGTATGGAAAACTACCTACTGGGTAATTTAGATTTCCAAACAGGCTTGGGATGTACGTCTTCTGTAGAAGAGGTTCGCTGGAGATTTTGGTTGCTCCTCATATGCTAATATGGCTGCATGCTATTTTGCTTCTTGTCTGCCAGCCCGGGATAGCCTGGGTTATGGGCCCGTTTAAATGGATCGTGCGGACGGGATCCCTTACAGTTCGTCTAGGAGGCAGTCGACATCTCGGCTTCAGAATAACCTTGAGCCCTATTGTTCTGGTCGTGCAGGGTAGGTTTTTTGCGACGCTCGGTTTTCCGCTTTAACGACTGCTGCTCTTGCATATCAGGTTGGAGCCAGATCTGTCAAGGCCAACAGTTTTATTACCACTACGCACAGGGTCAGCAGTAGAACTAGTAGGTGCCAGTAAAATGATTTCAGGCGGGTTTGTTTCGGCACTCAAGGCATTTGGGCAATCGATAGCTTAGGAACACCTATTTTTAGGTGGTGTGGGTTGTTAAGATAGTATCAAAAATTACTGTTAACCAACGGCGAGCCTACAAGAGTAATGTAGGCTCGCCGTTGGTTAACAATAATTTTTGATACTATCTTAACGTTCCTAAGTTTGGTGGTGAGAATGATGTCACGAGAAGTGATAAACTGGGCAGCCCTTTGTTGACTGTCAAAACGAAAAGGAACTGAACAGCAGTGTTTTTAGCGTTTTTTCGAGAGCCTACGACAACCCCATGGAATGCATGACATGTTAACAGCTTTAAGAAGCACTTTTTTCGCAGTATTTACGGGCATTTTATCTGGGACATTGCGTAGAGTTGCCCCCTGGCCCGCTGCTGTGCACTGTATGACCTCGGAGGAGAGTATTTGATTACGTTCTTTACCTTTGGCATGGCATCAGGCTCGGTCAGGACTTTGATTCCAGTATCTACGAGGGTCGTGTTAACTTTGGTGGTCAGCAGCTTTAAGGATGCAACATCCTGCATATCTCCTATTAAATCCGCTATGTTTACCGGAGTTGCACCATTTAAGACTATCTGAAAGCGGAGTTCGTTCACCTGCAGCAGTAGGTCTTGGATTGTTTCTTTAAGTTCGGAAACGGTCGAGGGTTCTTTACTGGGAATCGCCAATTCAGATTCAACCATTCGTACAACACCTGGAAGATCTAATACAGTTTTCATCTGTACACTAGTGCTGTCTACAGTTATTCTATGACATAGATAGTCCTTGGCTGTTGAGCCAATCATCGGGCTGCGCGTTAAAACATTTGCCAGTTTTACCATCGGTGTTGTGCCCAATTTTGCATCAATGCAATCCTTGTTAGGACTCACATTAGTTTCATTCAATAGCGAAGGCAGGGTAAGAGTGGTTTTTTCATCACTAATGATTCTGCTGGGGCTTTTACGAGTGCATTTATTTGGGCTTCGACCCATAGCTTAGCGGTACTTCTTTGCATTAGAATGGGGTCAGGGAACTGTGATCAGTTGGATATGGTAGGTGGTAATGGGAAGATTCGCGTCAGTGATCAGTTATGGACGCCTGTTCAACAGCTTGCTCAGGCCACGAGAATGAGTTAGAAGCACGGAGGTGTAAAATTCTGTGCTATGTGAGCACTGCTGGCGAGCAAGAATGTAAAACAACAGCAAAAAGCAACGTGGGAATAGGCTGAGAATGGTTGCGAGAATGTAACATAAGTTACCAGCGTACAGCATCCGCCCCACCGAAATCTCCACACACTTTGTTGCCGTGTGAAGGTGTCAGCGGGTGTTAGTTAAAGGAAGTGGTGGTGCACATAATGCCGTTTCATGCTTACTTCCTGGCAAGTCGGAGCCCACATATGTTAGGGAGCTACGTTACGGCAAAATATCACTGAGTGAATCCAGCTTGATTTCAGGTAGATTGAAGTCGCTGCATATGATTTTGTGCTCATATAGAAGAGAGGACGTATGTTATATACCCTTTAATTGTGTAAATCACTGGATTCTCATCAAGTTAAGGTTGTTAGGAATCAGTTGACCCTTAATCATTTGTTTCCCATAACTGCCACTCTACAGTCTGAGTTGCGTCGAGCCCAAAGTAGTGAGGTGTCCTAGCAGGGTCCCCTAAAGCTCTGTTTAGGAGCCCTCCTATTCCTAACATACGTAAGTGACTTGCCTATGCGGGTTTCTTCGGAAGTCTTTCTCCTTGTTACAGATGGTAAGCTGAGAAGGGAAATAAGGTTTGAAAGTGGCCGGCTCCCTTTGTAAGATAATTAAATCAGACTTCAACACTGGGTGAACTACAGGGAACTGCCCTACAGTCTTGGTGAGCGTTGGACCCTGGATTTGTTGTCTGATAGCGGAAGGCCATGGGTTTATACTAATTTTTTTCTAGTGGGCCACCATACTTGTTCAGTCCTCTTTTGAACAAGTCAGCCGATGACATGGACACCACCTCTTCAAAGAGCCAGTTCAAGTAGCTGATTATTCAACCCAGGAAGAAATGCTTCATGGAAGCTACATTCATTTTTCGCCTGCATATTCTATTATCACGTCCTTTGAGGTATTGCAAACGAGTGCGAAGGAAAAGAGAAGATAGTTTACGTCCGCTATCATCTCTCAAAATAGTTTATGGAACATTTATGCCTTCTCTCCATAAGCAATAGGATAAAGATGGAAGATTTAGCTCTTTAAGTTGTACTTGGTAGGTCAGTATAGCCATCACATTGATTAATGAGAATAGTAATATTTATTACTTGATATACAGGTATGGATAAGTGACCATATGAATTGTCCCAATCCCATCCCCATCCGTTCTGACACTAGGGGATATTAGTGCAACGTTCTTATGTAATGAAATCTTCCGGCAGAACAAGCATGCAAAAATTTACATTGGACATGTGGGAGTATTGTCTTTCTGTTAACAAAGAAAACCAGGGTTTGTATCCCGACATTACACGTATTACCAGGAGAAACATAAAGTTTGAGGCTAGTACTCCCGGTGTAACACCTCTTACATTTCACTTGAGAATAATAACGGACAGATCATTAGAGAATGTATGCAAGTTTTCCACTTATTTTACCTCGTTGTCGATTACCGAACTGTGTAATTCATGTATGCTGATACCATTTTATACCAGAGGTTCATAATCTCGCTGAATATTTTACGTCTGAGCGCCAAATATCTGCGTTTTTCAACTCCAGAATTCAGACGCAATAATTTTGTTCGAAGGCGTCCAGTAGACGTCCAGAGCGTCCCATCCGCCATTTTTACGTGTCGTGAGAGCCTTGTGGTCGTCTATTTACAGTGAAAATAGTTGCTGAAGTAGAACTGTGTCTTGCGGCCCCTTCTGCTATACCGACTTCCAAGAGGAAAGTTGGGAAATGTTCCTTACTCTGTTTCCGACTAACAAGAAACTCTTTGATCTGTGAAGGTAGGTTCCCAGTGATTCCGAAAGTTCCCCAGCTTTCCGAGCAGCCGGGAATGGAGCATCTTTTTGAACTCCCTACTATAGTCTGTGAAAATGACATTTACAGGTATCCTACCATCCTTAGGCCTAGCACAACTTCCTCTGTGTGTAAGAAGTTTCGTGAAGCAGAAGAAACTTCTGCCAAAGCCTTGTTGTGGACGGGACAGTAAAGGAATTTCATATTGTATTTGTCTATTTGATGTATATCAGAAAGTGATGCAGCATTATTTACCTAATATATATACTGAATACTCACCAGGTAAACAAATCTGATACGGAATTATATTCTGCCAAAGTTCGCAAGTTGTGCACTTAAATTAATGAGACAGTGAGGTGTTGGCGTGTGAATGAACTTTATGGCCCTCTTGATTACGCCTCCGGGGGTTTTCACTGCAGTACTAGTCAAGCCTGTCGGTCTGTGGACTGATGGATGCTGCCCAGGACCTGCCTAATGGGTATGTGTGACTATAGCGTCCTTCCAGTGATAGGGGACTGGGCGTATCGTAGTCAGCTGGTAAGCCACATAGGATGCGAGGTCTCTGAGCAATCTTGAGTGCAGCTGACCGGGTTTTAGTGATCTGTCCACACCTAGAGTAATGTATGTCTTGAATACATCGTACTGTCGATGTCCGCGGAGTTTATTCCGTTGGGCGTCAGTGTCCATTCTGTCACATTAACGTTCATAGAAGGTCCCTTGGAGTTGACCCCGGGCAAAGTATCCCACCATAGCTTCTGCTTTTTCCGCATAGTCTTCAATAAAATAGTTAGTTTCTGTCGCTTTGATCAGACCAGGTGTGCCGTGTACGTCTTACTCTCATAGTTCATATGGGAAAATAATCTCTTCAGGCTTTGGGATACAGCCTGGGAAAGACGTGTTCCGAGACTGATGGATAGCAGAAATACGCTCATTCCAGAGTTTTCGTATTACTTCCTCACCTCACGAGTAACAAGGTGTGAGGCAAGACTTCAACATTTTTTCTTGAGTAGTAGCAAGGTTTGGATTTCGTAGTTCAGAAAGTATGGGAACAGGGGATCTATATCACTTGAAACATAGCGGTTGAGAAATGACCTACCGATGATGTTCAGCACTTTGAACAACTCACGCCACCTGCCTCATCACTTGCCGAAGCCAAGATCCTATGCTAATCTTAGTGGGAGCACTCAGAAGTTAAAACTTGAGCACCATATGACGGACGTGAGGCGTAACGTTTACTCTGTAAGAGTTGCCGAGATTTCAATACTTTTAGGTGTTCGTTCAGGTTACGCCATCAGAGTCTCTGAAGCGCAAAGTTGTTGTTTCCTCAAGATCAAAACACCAGCTTGCAGACAATGCCGCTAATTCATTCTAATTTTATTCTTAGTGTTATTGCGTAGGTTCTCAAGAAATTTTTCATTGATTCAAGACACGAAAATGAGTTCAGTGAAAGCTTATTTAATTCTATCAATAACTACTTGAAGCCATTTGATATCATTTGGACATTAAGGTTGTTTGAAAATACTAGTTGGATTGTTGACTGCTTTTGACCGCAGATTGATTTGGGCGTTACGTTACTATGGCCTTAGGAAGGAAAAATGCAGTGAGTGTTTGCTGGTAGTTTTTTGGATTATCAATAAAATGCAGCTAGCACACACGCATTGTTAGGCAAAGTCCTTCTTTAGAACTGTCTGTTGAGAATTCATACCAACGGGCGATGACCATTAGTGAATGGCTGAAGCCCAGTCAACATTTCCGCGGGGAAACGCATGACAAAACTCGTGGAAATGTAGCAAAATCGCACATTTCGCCCTGTGTTGTACCATGATTAATTTCGTTTCGAGTTTTCATAACAATGTGCATCATGTCCTCTAGTTTTGCTCCGCGTAAATGTTGACTGGGAAATCGATCATAATGACGAAAATGCCTTCTCTCTCGTACGCCTTCTAAATGTCAAAAATTTTCCGTATTTGGAACCGACCGATACTTCTCTCTAAAAGGTTCTACGTTGGTTTAGTGTTCTTTCTCTTAGAAGAGTTAAAACGGAGGCCTGCGTATTGAAGAGATAAACATTGCCCTATTGGTACTGAAAAAATCCCATACGGTATTAACATTGAATGTAACCAGAGTACATCTGCAGTTTCGTTTGTTAGAATCAGTCCACTTTGTTCCGTATGAGCTTCCCGGCTAACAAACACAGCGCACTGTAGGCACTTGGGCACCTGAAAAATTTTATATTTATTATTATAATATTATTATTTGTCCCTTAGGTTCCTGATCGAACATAGGGCTTCAGTAGCACGTCTCCAGTACACTATGGTCTCTGGAACCTTTCGAACCTGGCCCCACAACAGCCCAGAAGCTCTCATTTCCTCCTCGTTGCCAGCCAGCCAGAGTTCCTTGTTGCTTATTCTTTCTGGCCATCTATCTGATCTTCAGTAACGAGCCGGCTCAAGCAATTGTTGATGAATGTCTGTAGTTTGTTGGAAATCCCTTTCGTAACACGCCACCAAGTCTCTGAACCATACAGGAGCACTGACTTGACGGTGTTGAAAATCCGAATCTTGTTCACGCTTTATGCTGAGTGCAGAAGATCTCCACACTGGTTTCAGGCTAATGAACGCCTGTCCTGTTTGTCTGATCCTGACTTTGACGTCCTCATCCGTGCCGCCTGTAGTTGAAACAGTGCTGCCTAGATAGGTGAAAGAGACTACTTCCTTTAAGTTACTCCCATTGATGGTGATTGGTGTTTGTTTGTTGTTGTTGTTGGTTGGGAATCTTCATCACCTCTGTCTTCTCTACGTTCACTTGAAGTCCCATCTCCCTTCGCTGCTACGCCTCTTCTGTCGACTTGTTAGTTTTTGCCTGTAGATCTTCAAGTTTGTGTGACAGAAGATAAAAGTCATCGGCGAAATCCAAATCTCATAAGTTCTTTTCCGCGGTCGAGCCAGCGTATCACCCTCTTCTCGCTCCTCACTGTTTGTTGTATGATCCAGTCCACTACAATCAGGAATATCATGGGTGATAGTAGACAGCCTTGTTTCACTTCTGTCTTCACTTCAAAGGCATCACTGAGCTTCCCATTGTGAATCACTTGGCATGTAGCTTCATCATATATCATATAGTTGTTGAATGAGATTGATAGAGGTTTGTGGCACTGAAACCGTGGTGTTGAAGCAGCTGTTTGTCAAATCACTTGTCGGTCGACGCTGTCGAAGGCCTTTTCAAAGTCGATGAAGTCGAAGTAAGGTAGAGTTGAGTTTACTGCCATTCTATACTCTGTTCTATGATGATGCGTAGTGTAGCGTTGCAATTTGATCCACACATGATTTGTTCCTCCTGAATCCAGCCAGCATGCTCCGGTCGTACTTTTGAATCCAGCTCATCCTTCAGTCTCTCCAGAATGATGCGGCACAATACTTTGCATGGGGTGGACAATGGTGGAGCATGATTCCTCACCAGTTCTTACAAAGATTTATGTCGCCCTTCTTTGGGAGTTTGATCAGGTAGCCCTTCTTCCAATCAACCAGCAGGTACCTTTCTCTCCTCCCTTCCTTCAAAACCTTCTACAGTAGTGGTGTGAGCATGTCCACTGTTGTCCCTACTTTTGTTCTCAGTGCTTCTGGTGGGATTCCATCTGCTCCTCCTGGTTTCCCGGACTCCAGCAACTTTATGGCGTGGCTTTCAGGACTTCACTTCTGCTTTGTCGGGGGGCTTGTGTTCACTGGTAGTTGTGTGACTCGGCTGCTTGTGGTATTTCTGGAGGAGTTGCAGGTGGTGGTGGTGGTGGTGGTCGATTCAAGAGTTTTTGAAGTGGTCAGCCCATTGTTTTCGTTGTTTCTCTTCTTTAGTAATTAAATTTCCGTCATCTTTTATTGGTTTCATCTGTGTTGATCTCTTCCCAGATAGTAACCTGGTTATTTGATACAATGTTGTCAGGTCTCCGTTCCTCATACTTGCAGCCTGTTCTGCTACACTTGCCAATGTGTCGTAGAAGTGTCTTTTGTCTTTGCGTGCACCCTTCTTCACTTCTTTGTCCAGTGTTTTATACACTGTACTCAGTCCTTCTCATTGTGCATCCTTGCACTGGTTTATCTTCTGCTTCACCGTCCGCCTCTCCCTGCTCTATCAGCTTCCATGTGTCCGTCGAGATCCATTCCATTCCTTGTCTTCTTTCATCTTCCTTCCTAATACGATTGTGCAGGTTTCTTTCCACATCTCTTTCAGAGACTTCCAGTGTTCATCCACACAGGTTTCTTCAGGGATGTTCCTCTATATCTCCCATTTTGTCTTGATGGTTGCCCTGAAGATGTCCTCTGTAGTTCCGTCCTTCTGTTTCCGGGTGTCGAACTTGAACTGTGGTCTATCACCAATTTCCTTAGAGGTTTTCAACTTGATTTTGAAGGTAGATTCCCTGCACTAGATAGTGGTCTGAACTCACATTTGCTCCTCTTCTTGACCTTATGTCAAGTTGGCTGCGTCTCCACTTTCTTGAGATTGAGATAAAGTCAATATGATTTTTAATGTGTCCATCTGGTGAAATCCATGTCGCTTTGTGGATATCCTCCTCCAATCACTAAATCGTTGAATGCTCAGAAGTCTGCAAATACTTCTCCATTCTTGTTCTTCATTTCACTGAGCGCTTCTCAACCCATGATCAGTTCTCTTCCTGTGTTGTCCAATCCCAGTTTCGCATTCATATCACTCATTAGAATTTCGATGTCGCCAACTGGGTGGGGTCTTGTCCAGTGTTGATTGCAGTTGTGTGTAGAATTCCTCCTTCTTCTCTTCATCTGCATTACTTGTAGGTGTGTAGTGTAGCATTGTATGCTTGTGACTTTCCTTCCTTTTGAGTTGAACCTTGCTGTTATGATCCTGGAGGAGATTGGTTCCCACTGCATGAGAGCCTTCGATGCTCTTGGGGACATCATGATAGCCACTCCGTGAGTGTGTTCGTGGTTGTCGTCTGGGTGACCGTAGTAGATTATTGACCCCTTTCCAGTTGACAGTTTGGAGAGTCCACTTCCATTCCATCTACTTTCGCAAATTCCTAGCGCTTCAGTGCGAAACCTTCTCATCTCGTTTGCAATCTGGGCTGCCTTGCTCGGTTCAAACATGGTACGTACTTCCATGTCCCCACGTTTACTTTCGCCTTCATCGAGAGAAGGGAAAAAACATCGACCAACTGGCTTCCCGAAGGCTTTCACCAACTGGCGTCATTTCGCCTCTCCGATTCCAGCGAGGAATAAGTTTGTTTTTATTTTTTATATTTTGTTTGTGCTTTGAAGTTTCTTTAGCGGTTGGATTTGTTTTACGGGGTAGGGTTGCCAGCCCTACGCCCAACCTTCCCTCTTTACCCTGGCTTAGGACTGCCTAGTAACTAGTGAACTAGTTAGCCAGGAGAGGCGAGCACATCCCTAAATTTGTTTACATCCTTCAGCTCCCCTGTTTTGAAAAAGCATCCTGCTGTTGCAGATCACTTTGATTTTACATCCGTGTACCGAAATCAAACGTACGTACGCTGTTATTTAGGAGTCTGTTTATATCCCTGTGAGCCCACTGCAGACACTGACACCTTTGTGATTTTGGGTGAGCTTCAGAACTTTTGGGATTTCGGGGAAATGTTTAGATGTCTTGGGAGTGTAGATGCATGTCCCTATGTGTACCCATAATGGTTTTGGTAAACAACCGAAAAACCTAAAGTACACCCAAAGTCTTTGCCAATTGCGTTGCTATCATCCGCTCAGTAGACTCTACCTTTCGGTACTTTCAAAGATTTAATCTCTCCAGTAATAAGAAGGGATGTCAATCCTGGTAAACGTTTTTAAGTCTTCTTTCCAGTCATATTAAAATAGACTATCTGAAAGGCAAAATATCACTGAGTCATCCAGATGGAAGTAATTGTTTGTCTCGATAGACCATTCATGTAGTTTTTGACTTTAAGTCTTATCCTTTAAGTTAAAAATTAATGTGAGGTGCTGCGTTCTCACTTTTGTCACTGACCTAAGTAAGTTCATAGACCATTTATCCGTCTCGGCCTCTGTAGACCATGTAATCAGGATTTTCCAACTTCATTAAGTAGACTGTATATATCCACAGCCTTAGTAGTAACTAAAGGATAGGTACTGTCACCCTTTTCACTTTTGTAGGAAATGGAACCATGTAAAGACTGAATATGATTTCCGTGGTAGAAACTGCAAAAAATGTGACTATATTGGGATCATTTCAAAGGGGAAGAACGGACTACTCACCCTGTGCCGTACTGTAGAATTTCAGTCACTATTCCAACAACCCGGTACTGGTGTATGTTGTGAGCTACACATGTTGTATGATGGTTTGTGATACTACCTGTTTGCGTAGACAAAAGCAGGAGGTTGAAGATTAATTAAGAGCTCATTGCTTAAAATTTGAGTCTGCTAATGAAATGCATCTCATCTCATTACTTACTGCACGTATGAGATGTAGTCATAAGTGATATTGGTAGTGTAGTGATGTCCAAATATTCTTGCTTGTTCGTATGTAGGTAACCACCAATCTAGGCATGAATTTAGTATACTACCACTACTAGTGGGTTAGATTTTGACCCGTTCACTGTTGAAAGAC